GCGGATTTTCAAAATTTTAAAAAATTTAATGACGATCGAATTTTGATAGAGACAAATATTTGAAATTTTGATGATTCATAAACCTTCCCTGGGCTCCCTAGATGTCCCACAAAAAATTTGGGCCCGATCGGTTCAGCCGTTTTGACGTTTATTGGATACAAACAAACAAACAGACAAACAGACAGACATACAAGCCAAATTTATATATAGATGTCTGTTTTTCCTTCTTATAACGTTAACAAACAGACAATTTGTGTTTTTATTAGTTTACATTTTTTTTAAAACAAAAACTTCAAAGCTTGCCCGAATTAGTGTCCTTTCCCAAGTAAAGTGAATTTCCAAGAAACTTTATTGAAAAACAAATTAATCATTCTAGGACTGATCAATATTCTCCTTATTTTAATAATTTTGATATGATTTGTTTTTTTTTTAAATTTGTAAATAATACCTTTCAGTTCCTATTTGACATTTTCAGATTTATCTTGGCAAAACTGTTTTGATACTTCAGGAGCGGGTGGGAGGAGGGGGGGATTTAAAAATTAGCCATACAATCCCACAACACTTTTTTTTATTAAAAATCGTATTTTAGTATGCAAACTTTACAACTTGTAGGTCTCGGAGCCTTTATTCTTCGTTTTCTATTTTTGTTATTCATGGTTTCTTTTCTTTGGGATATGTCAGATATGTTTTATACAGGTTTTTTTTAAGGCAGAATACTCAATGTATTGTAAGTGTATAAGTAGTGGAAGGGTATACTAGTATAAACTAAACCTTGTATTAAAGATGAAAGTGTATAAGTAGTGGAAGGATATAATAGTATAAACTAAACCTTGTATTAAAGATGTAAGTGTATAAGTAGTGGAAGGGTATAATAGTATAAACTAAACCTTGTATTAAAGATGTAAGTGTATAAGTAGTGGAAGGGTATAATAGTATAAACTAAACCTTGTATCAAGTAAGTAAGTGTATAAGTAGTGGAAGGATATAATAGTATAAACTAAACCTTGTATTAAAGATGTAAACCCCTTAAACCCTTTAAACCTGTGTAAACTGACCGTTTTACAGCATAAACTTGACAATTGAATAGATACCAGGAGGGTTCATGTTTTTATACAGGGTGTAAGTGTCACAGAGGTGTCTTAGAAGACGGTTACATAGGTCAGGGGTGTTGCAGAGATGAAGGAGGGAAGGAAGGGAGTCGAAAATTTAAAGAAGGCAGGGGAGGTAACAAATAAAAAGAAAGGAAGGGAGGTTGCAGATATTAAGAAGGGAAGTTGGGTTGCAGATATAAAGAAAGGAAGGGAGGTTGCAAATATTTAAAGGAGGGAAGGGGGGTTGCTGATTTATTAAGAACGGAAGGGGGGTTGCACTCCCCCCAAACATATCTTTAAATGACACTAAAATCACTTTGAATATACGCTTTAATCTAATTATTTATTTATTATATTAATTGTTTTATTTATTTATAAAACATAAACTTTGGTAAGAAGCTTTAACGTAAAATATGTATGTTATGCCTATGTAAATCTGCATTCATGTTATGTAATTGTAAATATGGAAATCTGCATTCATGTTATGTAATTGTAAATATGTAACTTTTATCGTTATGTAACTTAAATATGAAAATTTAATGTATTTTTTAACTTTTTAACTTGTTATTTGTAAAAAATTAAATTTTTAATTGTCTTTTTAAAATAAAGATTTTAGTAAAACGTCATTATTCTGTGGGATATATCATTGAAGTACATTCAAAAGGAATTTTTAAAAACTTTTTACGCGTTATTTCTTTAAAACTTCTATTTAAACACGCAAAGTATTAATAACTAGAAATTCAAGGCGCTTCGCGCCCTTCTTTCTAGCCTTAGAGGGCGCTTCGCGCCCATCTCCTAAATTAATTGTGAACATTGTTGCATGCAGATATAAAGGGGGGAAGGGGGTTGCAGATATAAAGGAGGTAAGGGGTGTTGCATGCAGATATAAAGGAGGGAAGGGGTGTTGCAGATATAAAGGAGGTAAGGGGTGTTGCATGCAGATATAAAGGAGGGAAGGGGGTTTTAAAAATAATATGGGGTAGGTTGCAAATATGATAACAAAATCCTAATTAAAAAAATAACTTGTATATATGTAGATACGAGGCAAGAAGATTGTACCAGACTGATAAATAGTAAACAGGCTTTAAAAAATATAACAAAGACAATGAACAAAATGAAGAATAGTAAAAAGAGCTAAAACTGATAAATACTAAAGCTTTCAGGTTCCAGCAAGTCCAGGAAAGAAGATAAAGACACAGGAACGATATAAAATCATTAAGAGAATAATTAAATCTGAAAAAGATCAAAAGATCAAAAGATAAAATTAGAAAAGAAAAGACCTGGAAAATATATTTGTGATCGCGAAAAAGATCAAAAAATTTGTTTTCAGACCTTGATAGACAATTTTTAAACAAATCTAGAAATGTGAAGAATTCAATATATACACCAAACAGAGACACGGAGAATACAGATGAACTTGCTAATGAAGAAAATGATGGGTTCTGCTTCTACTCTTATCTGATCTTGCATTGATGCACCCCCCTCCTAGTCAGAACTGCACTACTCTTCTTTATACATCTGGAAACTGTTTAAGATACAATGGTTCCAGATTACACTTAAAGGGATTATATAAGCCAAATTTCCAAAGACCCAATTCCTTTAAAGAATGTCATGTCTGATTCACTTTAATCCATTTTCTAATAAAAATCATTGAGATAGTCCTGTATTTTTTTTACAAAATTTGATATTTTTCAATTTTGTGTTAAAGTGACTTGCAAAGAAACATGGAAGAAAATTGGTAGGATTTATCTTTTTTCAAGATAAAAATACAACGATATTTTCCTTCCTTGGTGAAGGTTAAATGGAAAATCAAAGGAAATGTTCCCTTTTATGCATTATATTTTACAGAATTAAAAAGAAATAAATTTTTTAAATCTACTTTTTAAAACTTTCTCTCAAAAAATCTGTTTGAGTTATTTAATCTTGAATATTCCCCAGGTCGCCCCTGATGGTGTTTTACCCCTTGTATATCTGTTGAAGTTCTTTTGGTTTTTGTTCTAATTTAGAATAGGTCTGAACCAATTTACAGATGGAAGGATAGATAGACAGCCAGCAGTACACGTCTATAGATAGATACCTAGGCTAAATAGGTAGATAGCTGGACTTTAGATAGATAGATAGCTCGGCGATCCGTCAGTGAATGCAGAGGGTAATTGCATATATGTCAGCAGT